TGAGTGCGATTGTGCTGCGTCCTGTTTGGATGTCCAAGGTCGGCGGCCAAAATGTTTGCGTGCCCAAGGCTTTAATAAACCCTCCAGAATATTTTCGGCATTTCGGCGAAAGGGCAGCGAGCATCGGCTGTTATGGCGGCCCACACCATCACTATGGTCGGTTCTGGTGGCCAACCGAAGGTGCACAATTTCAGCTGTACTCTTTGGCAAGTAAACACGATCATTTTGTTTGTTTACAAACTGCTGGACAACGAATGTTTTCTCATGGAAGAAAACAAAGTTCGGCAGTTCACCACTTTCGGCCAAGCGAAGCAACTCTTTAGCTCTTTTAAGTCTATTTTCTTTCTGTTGCGGTGTAAGTTCTTGTACTTTTTGGAATTTCAATGGCGTTACCCCGAGCTCATTTTTCAATATTTGCCGAATAGAATATGGCGATATGTTCAGCTCATGAGCCATTTTTGTGACCACTGCGATGCGGGTTTCAATCAAGTCGCTTCTTTACTTTTCGAACCATATCTGCTGAAGTTGCTGTTTTCTTCCGCCCACTTTCTTGATGTCAGGCTACTCTACCAGTATCACGGTAACGAGCGATGGTACGAGACACATAGGATTTATTCATATTTAAATGCTGGAGTGCTCTAAAGATAGCCACTTGTGGGTTTCCAGCCGAATATAAAGAAATCACACTATCAGGCTTGAATTCCATCAAGAATAACTTTTTTTCTTTGGAAAATTCTCACCAAAATGCTTTTGTACGCTTGTAAACAATATAATGAGCTGTCACTGGAATAATTTGAACAGCTGTCGGACGAGTGGCTTAGAAATGACAGCAGTCTGAAGTTGGTTGCAATTTTTTCATCTCACCCTGTAAACTTTGCTTGCAAATATACAGGTAAGTAGGGAGAAGTAGAAATATGCAGGTAATTTCTACAAGAAAATTTATAGTACATACCTAATGACACAACCCGTAAAAGGCAAACTTCAAAAGAGAACTAATGTTTGACAAATAACTCGGTTCATCGATATTAACCAGTTCTAACCTCCATACTTCATACAACCAACCATAATCCACCATCCGCAATGGGATTGGAACTGTTCGTTAGTTACACACATTTTCTATCATTTTTACCCAAACATCAAAAGTACAGTCTAGCGACAAAGTCCAAGAGAGATGTCTTTTCCGGAAGATAATCTAGAGACCACAGACATTTGAGTCACTCGGTCCGATTCCTATTATTAAATGCCAAGAAAAGGCATCCGATTTAATTGTTTTCTTATACAACCTATTACTGTTGGATCATAGTCGGTATTCTGGTTGCAATTTAAGGAACACTGATGGATATCGAATAACGTAGCATTTCAGTGTTAGCGAGTCTGATAAGGTAGAATACCTATATCGAATACGAGTAAGTGAGGGGGTGCCAATAAAATTTCCTCGGCAATCTAGGGGCCGATAGGCTTGTTGGATGTAAGGCTATACATAATCAGGGTAACAAAACTCGGTTCCGTCATTAACAAAACCCAAAAAAAGAAGTTATGTACATGTTCAGTTCTACTAGAATACCTATATTACTTTAAATTAAAAAAATCATCTTTCTTGTGAGCGAAGATAATAAACATAATGCTTAGCATCATAAAAAAGTGCAGGCAGTATAGGCATAAGGGCTGAAAAATCATTGCGATCTGTCGTAATAAAATCGACAAAATCAACCCTATCTGAAAATGTTTAAATACCGAGTGATTTTTTAAGAGCTTGATAACTTTTTTTAAAAAAAAAACGCATAAAATTTGCAAAATCTCATCGGTTCTTTATTTGAAACGTTAGATTGGTCCATGACATTTACTTTTTGAAGATAATTTCATTTAAATGTTGACCGCGGCTGCGTCTTAGGTGGTCCATTCGGAAAGTCCAATTTTGGGCAACTTTTTCGAGCATTTCGGCCGGAATAGCCCGAATTTCTTCGGAAATGTTGTCTTCCAAAGCTGGAATAGTTGCTGGCTTATTTCTGTAGACTTTAGACTTGACGTAGCCCCACAAAAAATAGTCTAAAGGCGTCAAATCGCATGATCTTGGTGGCCAACTTACCGGTTCATTTCTTGAAATGAATTGTTCTCCGAAGTTTTCCCTCAAAATGGCCATAGAATCGCGAGCTGTGTGGCATGTAGCGCCATCTTGTTGAAACCACATGTCAACCAAGTTCAGTTCTTCCATTTTTGGCAACAAAAAGTTTGATAGCATCGAACGATCGAGCGATCGCCATTCACCGTAATGTTGCGTCCAACAGCATCTTTAAAAAAATACGGTCCAATGATTCCACCAGCGTACAAACCACACCAAACAGTGCATTTTTCGGGATGCATGGGCAGTTCTTGAACGGCTTATGGTTGCTCTCCACTCCAAATGCGGCAATTTTGCTTATTTACGTAGCCATTCAACCAGAAGTGAGCCTCATCGCTGAACAAAATTTGTCGATAAAAAAGCGGATTTTCTGCCAACATTTTGGTAATAAAAGCATACTGAGCATCTTTCTCTTTGATACCATGTCTGAAATCCCACGTGATCTGTCAAATACTAATGTATGAAAATCCTAACCTCAAAAAAATCACCCTTTATTTCATCAATTTCATAATACAAATTGGTTAAGAACAAGTAAAAACATATTAAAAAAAAACATTTTTGTGCAATTCCATTTGGCGCACAGTTAATTTGAAATCGGTTAAAAATATATAGGGGAACCGAAATCGGAACCGATCTCGATAAAATTTGGCAAAGATATTTCTGAGCTGTATTTGATATATTTCCCTGAATATCGTTGTTACGGAGTGCATATTACGGCTGTGGGTAACAAATATGACAAATCGGATGAACATTATATATGGGAGCTATAGCTATATCCGAACCGATCTTCACCAAATTTGACATACTAGCTTCTAGACTCAATTCGGTCCTAAGTGCCAAATTTCATCCAATTTGGGCAAATATTAGACGTTTGGTGCACACTCGAAGGTAAATCGGACGAAGTTATATATGGGAGCTATATCCAAATCTGAACCGATCTCGATAAAATTTAGTAAATGTATTTATGAGCTGTATTTGATATATTTCCCCAAATATTGTTGTTACAGAGTGCATATTACGGCTGCGGAGGACAAAAATAACAAATCGGATGAACAATATATATGGGAGCTATAGCTATATCTGAACCGATTTCGATTTGGCATACTTATTTTCAGGTCCTATCTGATTGTACGTGCAAAATTCTATACTATTTGGACTGATATTACACGTTTGGTGCACAATAAAAGGTACATCGGACGAAGTTATATATGGGAGCTATATCCAAATCTGAACCGATCTCGATAAAATTTAGCAAATGTATTTATGAGCTGTATTTGATATATTTCCCCAAATATTGTTGTTACAGAGTGCATATTACGGCTGCGGAGGAGGAAATAACAAATCGGATGAACAATATATTTGGGAGCTATATCTAAATTTTGACCGATTATCTCCAATTTCAATAGGGTTCGTCCTTGGAACAAACAAATGATTTGTGCAATATTTCATCTGGATAGGGCAATAAATACGAACTGTACTTTGTTTACAAAAATACATGGACAGACGGACATGCATAAATCGACTCAGAATGTGATTCTATGCAGATCATCAAAAGGAACCATGGGTCTGTCTCGTTTCCTTTTGCCTGTTACACCTGACCACCTTGTGGTGTAGGGTATAAAAAAATTATGAAAATACCGAATATCGGGAGGTACCCTTATATGGGGGCTATACGAAAACGTGGACCTATACATAAAATGTTCCGCCACCGGAGCTAAGACCCATAACGAACTACAAATTCCAATTTTTAGACAAATTGTGACTTAAACCATCAAAATACCAAATATCGGAAGATGCCGTTACATGGAAGCTATACCAAAACGTGGACCGATATATCTTATTTTCGACCATCCAGACACAATGCAAACTACTGTGTCAAAGTTTAAAGCTCTACGTCAAAATATTAGCTGTATCGTGATTTCAACAGACAGACGGACCATCGTTAAAACGAATTAGACTTTTTTGCTGATCATGAATATATATACTTCATGGAGTCTATGACAGATATTCAGAAGGGTTACAAACGGAATGACAAATTTAATATGCCACCCTTTCTAAGGTGGAGGGTATAATAAACCCCACCGTTGTATAAGGAAACAACACGTTTTCTCAAAAAGATTTTCCAATATTTAATTTTATTTGTTTCATTTTTCTTTCAGACTTAAAATTTTTCTTTTTTCTTTTCGTCGTTTAGAAATTAAAAATTAGAATCTTAAAATTAGACATGTTAAAAGCTTATAAAATATTAGGAGTTCTTTTTTTGAGAGAAGTAAATAGTAATTTTGAGTGTTTTCAGTAAAGTGTATAAAGTTAATTTTTTTAATAAGATTTATCACAACAAATACAGAGTGGAGAGAAACGATTAAACTTAGATATGAAATAGGAATGAAGTGGAAAGAAATATTTTAAAAATAACATTTTTAGTCACTACGTTATCCTTCTTAAGAAAGTGGCAATGTATGCAAGAATATATATGTATTAATAATAATTAATTAATAAAAATATAATATCAACTACAAAAAAATAAAGAAATTAAAATAAAAACATTTTGATTTTGTTTTACTTAATATTAGTTATTTCTCATTTAAATGATGCCTGTGTAATTCATGATTGTAAATTCATACCCAACAAGTTTGGTTTGCCTTTCATTCATATTTTCTTTTATGGTTTTGTAATTTTTTCTTCTTGTATGTAAATATCATGCCTCTGTTGTTTATTTTAATCGTTCACTTTTTTAGAAAAAGCTAATTGATCAGTTATGTATGAAACCCCAAAATATTTTTTTTAGTTCTATGTATAATGTGTAGGTGTGTGTGTTTTTTCATTATCAAAATCGAGACAGCTATCCATTTGATGATTCGTGTTCCACAGCGTAACAATCCTGTTTTCCTTTTTTCTCTATATATTTATATATTTTCTATGTATAATTTCCTAATAGATATATTGCTTATAAAATTATTTTATAGGCCGTTTAAGAGTTTCTTTCTTTGTATCATTTGGAATACTTAACGATGATGGGCAGAGTATTGTTGTTAATGTCCATTGTGGTAATAGATAAGCGCGTGTGTGTGTGTGTTTTAGACGTCATTAAAGCTGTAATAAATCAGAATAAATTAAAAAGAAGTTTTAATACGATAAATCCTTTGTCAAGAACACAGTAAACGGGTTTTACAAGAATGCAACATTTCTTATTGTTATCTTGCTTTATTTTTTCTTCTAAAACCAGTAAGGAAACCTTAAAAGTCGGGCGGGGCCGACTACATAATACCCTACACTACTATGCATGTTTAGTAGAGCTCCCGTAACAAAAAAAAGTTTGTATTGGGAAGTTATGTGAAGTAGATCATACCAACTATGAACTTTTTTTGAATGCGTATCATGACTTTAAAGTAGTCTCAATTTGGGAACTATATCCAACTCCGAATCGATTTTCAACAAATTTGACGGAGGCTTTTGTACCTCTAGTATCTAATAACATTGCTGTATAGTGCATGATATGACATAATAATTATAATCGATAAGAATTAAACAAAAAAAGGAAAAAAGCTATATGTTTGGCCGGACCGAACTTTGAATACCCTCCACTATTTACAACGAATTTGGCAATTTTCAAAAAAATAAAAATAAATAAATAAATAAAATAATCTAAATCTATTAAAAATTCTGTTAAAGTCTTAAAAATACCGAGTGTAGGCGTTATATAAGGATCTATACGATGACGTGGACCTGCATGGGCAACTTTTGCGAAACTTGAAAAAAATAAATTCGGTGAATAATGTCGCTAAAATCATCAAAGTACCAAATATAGGGAGGTACCGTTTATGGGGGCTGTACGCAAACGTGGACCTGCAAAGACAATTTTCTGTCATAGGTTGTAGTTTCAAATTACGAACTTCAAATACCAAATTTGAACCATTCCGGTGAATAATGTCGCGAAAATCATACAAATACCGAATATCGGGAGGTACCGTTATATGGGGGGCTATACGAAGACGTGGATTTGCACAGACAATTTTCTATCATAGGTTGTAGCATCTGTTACGAACTTCAAATAACAAATTTAAAACAAACAATGAATAATGTAGCTAAAATAATCAAATTTTCGAATATGGGGAGGTACAGTTATATGGGGGCTATACGAAGACGCGAACCTAAACAGACAATTTTCTGCCTTAGGCTGCAGTATTTATTACGAACATTAAATACCAAATTTGAAACAATTCCGGTGAATAATGTCGCTAATATCATCAAAATACCGAATATCAGGAGGTACCATTATATGGGTGCTATACCAAAACGTGGACCTACATGACACATTTTCAATACCAAAAGTCCTGCAGACATAATACACATTTGAGTTAAAATTTACCAACCTACTTAATTTCGTTCGGAAGCAACAGTGATTTCCACAGACGGACGGACCTCGCTAAATCGACTTAGAATTTTATGCTGATCAGGAATATATACTTTGTGGGGTCTAAAATGTATATTTCGAGGTATTACAAACGGAACGACAAATCTTAATATACCCTCCTTACTATGGTGGAGGGTATAAAAATATTTATTGGAGCAATAAAACCGGACCGAGTTCCATCAAATGGAAAATTTCGGTTGAATATGTAAAAATCTACTCAATTTGGGCTGATATTACAAATGAGCAACGACCGTAAAATCAAATAAATGTGTATATCGAAGGCATATAAAAATCTGAACGGATCTCGATAAAATGTCCGGTATCAAATATCATTGTTGTGGAAGGCATATTACGAATGTGAGGGACTTTAACACAAAATCGGATAAAACATATGTGGGAACTATAGGTATATCTGAACCGATTTTCACCAATATTTGCTTTTGGGCTGAATTCCACCGGAATTGCCAAAATTCACTCCATTTGGGCTAATATTAGCCATTTGGTGAACAAAATTTCTGAAATCGGATAAAGATATATATGAGAGCTATATCCAAATCTTAAGCGATCTTGATAATATTTTGAGTACTTTTTTCTGAGCTGTATCTGATATCTGGTACCACAGATCATTGTTGTGGAGTGCGTATTACGCATGCGAGGGGCATAAAACCCCAAATTGGATGAAACATATATATGGGAGCTGTAGCTATATCTGAACCAATTTTCACCAAATTTGATGTATTTGATTCTAGACTGAATTAGGTCGGATTTGCCAAAATTCAGGTCATTTGGACTGATATTGACCGTTTGGTGCACAATTAACCCGAAACCAGTTGAAGATATATGTGGGAGCTATATATAAATTTGAAATGATTCTAAACATGATTCTAAAGGGCTAAACAATTATTGTTTGCAAAATTTCATCTCAATCGGATAACAAATGCGACCTACAAGAACACATGGACAGACAGAAAATGATTCTATGAATATCATCAAACTATGGGTCTATCTCGATTCCTACTCTATGTTAGAAACAAATGCACAAAGTCTTAATACTCTGACCACTATGAGGTGTAGAGTATAATTAAAATCCCATAAAATTTTTCTTTTACTCCAATGAGTTCTTTGTAAATCGCCTTAGATCATGTTCTGAACTTTAACAAGATACAACATAACGTGGAAATACATAAAGCGCTTATTTGACTGGCTTCTTCCGAAATTAAGACAGGAGCCTACACCCAAAATCGAGCTAAGATATCCTAAAACTCCTTTGTTCCTCTACGAAGAAGCCAACCGATGACTTAAGCCAGCCAAATAAGCACTATATGCATTCCCACCTTTAATATACCCTGTATTTGAATGAATAAATGGAAGTTTAACTTCGGAATTGATTGAGAGTCATTGTGCATGACTTCACTGTCCTGCATTTACTTTAATTGTCCCTTTCTTAGAAAAACCAGCAGAAGAGATCAAACGTAAATAAAACCAGTAGGACAACGCTTTCTAGTGACAAAAAAATGCTAAAATATCTCGGTGAAGTTCGGCTTCATCTGGTAAACCTCACTAATGAAAAAAAATTTATTTACGCAAATGTTATAACAATTGAAAATATATGTGGATAAAAAACCGAATCTACATTTGTTTAGACAGTCTGTTGCAAGATCCGTTTGTTCTGACCACTCAGAGCGTAGGGGTTTGATTAGCAGAAACCTATAAATCCAATAGTCTGATATGATCTATGTTAAATATATCATTTTTGAAACAAATCGGATACTCCCTCGAAATTTATTAAATACGGTTGGATTTGCATATTAGCTATGTTTGATAAGTCATATTTGAAACAAATCGGACACTCCCTCGTTATAGTTCAGCAAAAACAAGAATATCAATATCTGAAGCATGAACAGAATAAAAAAATTCAAATAATTTCTCAAAACGCAAAATGGATGTCGTAGTTGAAATTATAACAACAAAGTGGCATTTTCAAAAACACTAACTATTTCTAGTAGACGAAGTCGTACTCTTATTAATTCAATTGTTCAAACAATAAACCGGCCAAGTAGTCATTTGCATAAATATTTAAGCAACTGCAAAAAACTCACGCGCACACACACACACCCATGTTCGTCATTGACATTTACTAAACAATATAAAGAAACAACATTTGCCTTACCCATAATTATTACATCGTTAAGATTACCCCTTCTTCTGTTTTGTATGTCTGTATATGCTGCAGTCTCTGCACCTTCGTCTTCATTCATCTTCACTTCCTCATCTTCATCTTAAATTGATTGTCTAATAGTTAGGTTTGATTGGTTTAAAATACCATTGTTGATAGCCATCATTAACATCACAGTGCGCCAAAAACAATTGTTGTGTGGTGGGGTGGACAGCAACACATTTTCGATGGGCTCGATGCAATAGGTGTTTGGTGTTCTCATCATAACTCCATGGACCATCGGTTGTGCCCAAACGACAAACGGCTAATTTAATACCCTGGCGATCGGCCTCAACGCAACGTTCACCCACACCCAGTTGACCGGCAGCATTTAAACGTATCAATTGATTATTACCACCACCATGACAATGTGACAGGCCCATAATGGCGGGGGGCTGATGACCCATTGAATCTAGGCAATTTTCCGTTGCCACTGATCTCAATTCACCCCATTGCAAGTTGGCCGGTAGGGCAGGGAATTTGTCATATACATCATAGGCAATATTATCCATATACCATTGGAACGATTTACAATTGAGTCGTTTCTTTAGGGCCAATTGTTCACTTATATCACCCATATCCAAATATCTAGCCAAAGGTTCTCGGGTATAGAAGTATTCTTTGTGGGTCTCATCAAACCATGTCTCAATGACACGCTTGTAGTTAATTGTAATCAATGGTCCCTTTTTCTTGCTGGCCAACTTGCCAAAGTTGTAAGGCATAAATCCACGATACACATGGCCAACATGTGAACAGGGTACCCATTCAATACTGCCACCACATTGCCAAATTTTAAAACTTAATTCGAAATTTTCACCACCCCATACCAAGAGGCCAGGGTCATAGGCACCCAGTTCCAAAAAGTATTCACGATTAATGGCAAATAGACCGCCGGCGTGGGTGGGACTGCGATAAGGTTCGGAGTTGTGTTGTCTACGACGTTGTTCCCGCTTGGGCACCTCATTCTCCTTGTACAACATACCCCATTCAAAAATGCCACGGAAATGATTTTCACTTCCATAAACGGAACGATATTCAAATGTTTTATAATCAATGCCATCGATAATAGGCACAGTCATTACGGTGCGATCACGATAAATGGGAGCCAATAATGGTGGAAGCCAGTTTGTGTTCACCTCACAATGGGCATCAAGGAAGACTATTACTTCGCCTAAAAACAAAAAGGGTTATGCATTACTATGTTGTACAAGAAAGGAGGAAAAAATAAATGAGAAGATATATTTTCTAATAAGAAAATTTTAAACGGATATTTTCTTATCAGAAAAATTATCCGACTAATATCGAGAATTGAAATTGTTCTTTTACAACACACACACTCTCAACATGTCGTCCCCGAAACGAACTCACCTGTTGCCTCCTTAGCACCACGCGAACGAGTTCGAATCAAACCTTCCCTTTCCTTGTTGCGTATCAAACGAACCAACCCCTTAAATTGTTTAATGTAATTTTCCAACTCCTCGCCCAAATTCTTTTTATCCGAATAATCATCGACCAATATAATTTCGTGTAAAATATGCTTAGGTGTACGGTCTATGACCGAATGGACGGTACGTAACAGCACTGAAAAGCCTTCATTGTGAAAGACAATAATAACACTGGTCTTTGGCAAATCGTATGGATAATTCCAATGTTTACACTCTTCCAGACGGGTGTCGCGCACACTGCGATGCATGGAGATGTCATCAGAGGCGGCAATATTCATGCCATATTCCATTTCGGACTCATCTGCTTCGTTTTTCTTATGGGCTGGCATATGATATGCCTCGCCATTTTCACCGGGACCAACACGTTCTTCCAGCGTGGTGGGTTCAAAGTTACCCAAACCTGTAACACCAAAATGTGAGTAATTGTTTAATTATTTATGTTTTTCACATTATTGTTGTTGTCGTTGTTCACTGTATGACATTTTGTTCAACGATTGTTTATTACCTTCTACCAAAACCGGTATTTCCTTGGGTCTCCCCTCCAGACGTTGATAGTGACGTCGTCCCGTGCCAAATTTAGCCTGATAAACCTCTTGCACTCTTTTGTGGCCATCACTCCAAGTGATCAACAAATACAAAAGTGGCAAAAGTATTAGCAACAATGCCAAACGGCAAATGCGTCCATTGCGTATATTACTAATTCGCATGTTGATCTAAATTATGTTTTTTTGTTCTTTATCTCAATTATTCTAGAGAGATTCTGTAGCACTTATCAGGTCTGCTACCTGCATGAAATGGTAACAATTAATATCTTTTGTCGACGTGTCTTTCGTTTACAAACCACCAACCAATCCGACCGCCTTAACTAGGCTTAGTGACAGAAACTCTCTTCTTTGGCTGCTCTAATCGTAATAACACACTACTTTTCTTGTTGTGCTTTCTTTCTTCTTTGGTTGTTGTTGTGTTCTGTCTTTGCCAACCAAAAAGCGATGTACGTTCTCACATCTCCCAACCGGAGCACCAAAAGATCAACCCGACGTCAATAACAATGCCCATAAACATACCAACAATGCACGGGATGAATGAACGAAGGCAACTTCAAATGCGAATAAAAAATGCCGCTAGTAAATTATAAAACAGGGATATGTAGGTCGACTATCGACCAATTGAATTTGGTAATGAAAAATTTCTGCCATTGGCAAAAATTACAGAGTAGACTTTTCGTAATCGATTTTCGATGTTGAGGATGACGATCTTTTATGAAGCATTTATTTGAGTCAAATAATATGCCACTATTTAAGAGTTTCTATTTTGACGCCAAGATCAACAAGTCCATGATACGAATACATTTTTTCTTTTAGTTTTCCATTATACTTTGACATTAATATGCCTAGCCATGACCTCAAGCTTTTTATGTACTTGAACCTTTTGTTTTGCCATGGTGGAGGAATACAGGTAGATCGACACAGATGCTGGGACAATGAAATGTCAAACCGATTTTGGAATTGAAAATGTTGAATGAAAAATAATTGAAATTTGTAAAAATTTTTGAAAAATACATATCATTACAACATCCGATTTGCGTCGTATAAGAAAACATATAAAAATCTACTTATTTTTGACAAAACATTTAAAATAATTTGATACATCAATGTTCACAAGCGTTGATGCATCTACCTATATTCTTCTACTATGAGTTGCATTTTCTTCGATATCATAATGGGAAAATCGGTTATCGTAGTAAAACTTTGTTTAATCTCGTAGTTCTGGAACAGAGCAAGAATCTACTAATTTTTAGTCTGCTTCAGAACTGCAAGAATGTAAATATTTTTACTACGATAACTGATTTTCCCTTTATAGTATCGAAGAAAATTGCAAAACTAGTCGATTCTTGCAGGTATTGGAACAGAGCATTTGCGATTTTTTTCGATATCATAAAGGGAAAATCGGTTAAAGTAGCAAAAACTTTTATATTCTTGCAATTCTGCAACAGAGCAAGTTTTTGTATGCCTATGCACTGTTTAGAATAAAGAACAAAACAATTGAAAAAATCAAATTCTGTTGAAATTTAAATGTATTGCAGCTTTTGGGAAGAACCATGGTATAATAAGGAAGTAGAATAGCTTATGTGGCGTTTCCACTGCACTTGATTCGCTCTCTATTCGTTGTTTAACCCTTAACTATGAAAAAACTACCTAATTCTTCACACAAAATTTCCTGAGCGAACACTCATATTTGTACGTTGTTCAAATCAAATCACTCTCAGAACAACGAAAAAATATGTCCCATCCCTAACAAATGAGAGCATTTATCGAAAAAATAAATTATGACATTTAAAATTAAAAATAGAAAAATTTAATGAAATTTTAAAAATTTTTGGGAAGACTGAAAATTATGAATGAAAACTACAATGTTGAATGGCGTATGTACATTCAAACGAAAGTAAATTTTGTTTTCTCTCTCATTCGAGGTACGCATTTGGTCCACGAGTTAAAATTTCTACAGAAAACTGCAAACAAAATAGTCAATATTTTCAAAATGTTTCTATCGGCAGAAAAAATGTTTGACAAGTGTCTCTCCAGCAGAATTTAAAAATGGAAAAACACAAAAATGTGTTCAAAATGTCAACATTTACACAAAAAGTTGAAATCGTGAATGAAAATTGTAAAATTAATGATATAATAAATCTTTGGGAGGAAAACAATAATTTCTTCTATTCATATTAGTGAGAATTTCATGTATTTTCGTATAAATTCCCATTAAAATCAACAAACAAAATTTTTGAAAAAAGGAATTATTTTACTATGAATTACGAATCGTGCCGTAAGAACGGGTTAATTCGTGTACCTAATTCTGAGAGCGAACAACGTTGTTCGGTTTCCAATGGAAACATGCTATTAGCAAAACTGCAGAAATACAGCACTGAGGCGATGGCAGAAGTCGGGCACACTTAGAAAAAAAATTGTAATCAGCTGATGGCTCTAACTTACCTTTTTATTGTACCATGGGAAGGAGAATTGCAATTGCATTCAAAACTCGATGTTGTGAAAAAACACGTTTTTCGCGATTTTATTATATTTACAAATATTAGGAGGGTAAAAATAAAAAACAGTTTGTTGCCTTTTTTATTGGTAAATTTGAAGTTACAAGCCTCTAGCTTCAGGGTTGTGTTTTTAAAATTAAATCATTCTGCCTAACCTTGTATTTATTGTACCATGACGAAAGGCGATGGTAGAGCTATCAGCTGATTACAATTGCTCTGTCCCAGAACTTCAAGGATGTGAAAATGTTTACTATATTAAAAATAATATATATTTTTACTTTATGATATCGAAAAAAATGCAAAACTAGAAGATCCCTACACTACGCCATCTATGAACAAACTATAATAAACTACATAATATTTTTCAACCAACAATCTGGCATCATTTTTTTAGCAAAGCAGCCATTTTGTTTCAATTCAATTTAGTTTCATTCGTTTGTGTTCGTCGAACTCGTTGTTGATTGTCTTGTGAAAATTTGTATTTTTTCAAGTTAAAAAGTGTTTAAAAATAAAATAAATCATAAATAATTGTAATTTAAGTCTTTCTGTGCGGTAAGTAATTGAAGTTTATTGAATTTCGCATGAATATGTGGACGAAAAATGGAGAAGAAAAAATTGGATGTCTACATTTGTTGGGTGTGTGGAATGTCGTTCGTTCCGTTTCTTCTTTTTTATTTGTGGAAGAGGGGAGGGGTGAATTGTTGTGGATTTTTATTGTATGTATTTGTTTATTGAATTTCTTTGGTAAGACGAATGCAAACCTCAAAGGTATTTGGAGAAGCATATCATATTCTCATAGGTGGATTGAAGTTTTAAATCGCCGGATATGTATTTGAAAATCTGGTGTTAAAAATGGTGTTACAACAACAACGAATAATTTTCCGTAATTTTGTTTTCCTTTGTTTCTTGGGTTTCTTGGCGATGGACATTTATTTTTTTTGTATTTGTAGATATGCTCTGTATATGTATGGTGAAGGAACGGAACAACGGTATTAATGCTACGAGTTAGTGTATTTATGTCAATCCGACTAAAAGTAATCGAATAATGAGTAGTTGTGTAGTTTAATCAATACGGTCGACAAGATGTGGAATTTTATTGTTTATATTTTCGAATGGAAATATTTTGGTGATAACAGGTAATAAGGTGCTACTTGTAAAGATAATGAAACACACTTATTACCCGTTGACGCCATGTAAAGCCGCGTTTACACTGAGACTGCCGCATATTTTCACGATGAAGCAAGTGCATTTAACAACACTGACGAAAGGACCGCTTAGAAATTAATTCTGAAATGTATAACCATTTCCTTCATCTAGTTCTCTTCGCCCCGACAAAAATCCTGTGTTTGCTTTGAAAAACCATAGTCTGGAGGCCAAATCGATTTCTAGATCCTAGTTATTTAGAATCGTTTGAATTTATATAAAATGTCAGTCAGCTGATCTTTCCAGTTCGGGATAGACTACAATAGTTTCACTTTTAGGAGCAGACATACAACACGTCAAAATGTTTCGATTAACATTTAATTTTAAACAAATCCAGGATTTGAGATGTTTTAGGTATAGAACACAGAAATAAGCATGCTCACACATTCTTCAAAAAAGAAACCCAATGAGGATTTTAGAATGAGGTTTTATTTTCTGGTCTCGTTTTGTTTGACCCTGGCATACAGGTAACCGCTGGAGAAATCTGGAGTATCTTGTCTATAAAAAATTGTATGCCTATAAAAAATTGTAGTTACTTCTATCAAAGCTACAAATCTTCATAAGAGAGTAAGAACATTGCAAGAGATGTTGGTATTAGTTTTTCTCCATCCTCACTGCTTTCGTTTCCTTTTATTCCTTTTATTTCAGAATTCTCGAAGCTTTCGATTTGATGTTGAAAATTTAATGGCAGACAGCCGTGAAAAATAGGTTGACACCGATTAGATTTTATTATGGTCAGGGTATTATATATTTGTGCATTTGTTTGTAACATTCAAAATGAAACGATATAGACCCATAGTTACTTTTGAGGATCTTCATAGAATCTCTTTCTGAGTCGATTTAGGCGTGTCAGTCTGTCTGTCCATATATTTTTGTGAATAAAACGCAGCTCGCAGCTTTATTATCCGATAGAGATTACATTTTGCAAACAATATTTGTTTGGCCCAATCACGAACCCTATTGAAATTGGTGATAATCGGATCAGATTTAGATATAGCTCCCATATACCTTCAACCGATTTCGTGTTAATTGTGCACCAAATGGCTAATATAAGTGCATATGACCTGTATTTTGGTACATCACACCGAATTCGGTCTAGAAGCAAATTTGGAGAAAATCGGTTCAGATATAGCTTTAGCTCCCATATGTATGTTTCATCCGAGTTTTGGGGTATTTAGTCCCTCACATGCGTAACATGCACCCCATAAGAATGATATTTGGTACCGAACATTGATACTGCTCGAAAATACCTCTGTCAAGTTATATCAATATCAGTCCAAATGACCTGAATTTTGTCATATTCGACCGAATTCAGTCTAGAAGCAAGTACATCAAATTTGATAAAGCTATAGCTCCCATATATATGTTTCATCTTATTAGGTGTTTAGGTCCCTCACATTCGTAATATGCATTAGACTCAATTCCACCGTCAAAACTACGCCAGATTTGATCAAATGTTCACCATATCGAATGTGAGAATTTAGCCCCAGTTTTACTAGTAAGCTGGCATGACCACAACATAATTTGTTTCCACAGTCTCATTATCCGAAGTAGTTGGAAGTTTTATATCTCGGGGTCTTCCACCGTGAGTTGGCTGTCGGGAAATATAAAGATTTCTTGTTAAAGTTTTTCGTTATAATTTATGTCAGCTCATATATTCTTATTTTCAACCACCAACGAAGTGGTGAATCATTGGATTACGCATTTTTATATTTTTTTTTGCAAAGCCAGGACCTCATACCTCATGAAAATTAGAAATCGGAATGCATATGAAATGCAATTTTCTTAACCCAATGCATGACTCCCAAAACTTAATAAAATGGTCCTAATACTAATGCTCTTTCCGATGCCACCCAAACAAAGTTTTTTTTTTACAATACTTTCTTTCAAATTGCCT